GAAAATGCGACACAATGTAATCGCCTAAGGTTTGTATTACGAAAAAACCTCGACAGACGTCAACGGTTTTACTCGTGTGTATATACGAAAGAATTGATGGAACAAATTCCATTCATCACACCAATCTTCATGCGCTAATCCATTTCCGGTTAATTGCTAGACAAATCTCAAGTTGAACATAGTGTCGGATATGTACAGCATTCTACTATCAAAATTCATGATTCAATTGACACCAATTATGTTATATTAGTGCCGGATAGAATCTTTATAAATTAAATAGACAGAGTTTCGTGCCGTTTTTATATTATATTGGAAAGAGAGAGGGGAACATATCATATTATATATATATATATATATATATATATATAATTATTATATATTATGTTAATATATTATAATAAAATTTTAGCACAAATTGTCGTTTTGTTTATTCACCCACTTCGCCGCATGACTTGCAAGATTTGCGTGTTTTGCTTCGGAATATGTGCGGAATATAATCAAATTAATTTAATTCATGTAAATGTTACGCCTGCATAACCCGGCATAGATTTGTCATGGCGGGGTAAACTCAAGATGCCTAGTTGCAATCTCCCACGGTCTCTAGTGGATGTGCATCGCCCCATTACAGTCGCCGGAATATGCGACCCGATATATGACCAGGATAGGCAATCTGAGGTTCAAGGCTGTCAGGCGCTTGATTACGACTCCCCACAAATTCTGCACACATATTTGGCTTCACATATTATTTACACGTCCGACGTCAACCGGGCACCTGTCGTTTAGGAGGCTAACGGATCGCTTTGTCTTGACAATTCAATAAGTCACCGAAACGAAGTAACTCACTTGCAGTAAATACATGGCGAATCGGTATGTACACGGCACACGATTCTAACTGTAAGTGTATACAAGCCACACTATACATGCACAGTGTCTCTCCGGGCTCCTACTGAATATCATAAATACTCTCGGGACTGTCAGAGTGAACGGTAACGAAGCGTATTTTTATGAGAAGGGTGTATTGATGCAGGGCCATAGGTTATGCGAACGCTTACACCTGTGGGGGAAGGGACGTAGCAGGGTGAATTTCCGGTGAATCCGGCTACATGCAACCGCGTCATATTACGGCGTCAGCGCGAGGTGAGCTTCACATAACAGCAGTACAGTACAGGAGGTGAGGGCTTGGCAGCATATGTTTCTATATTATACACACGCACACGCACACGCACACGCACACACATACACACACACATATATATATTCTTGTTATATATTCTTGTATATGCTGTAACTGTCATGTTGTATTGTTATATCTTGTGTTTGTTCTCTCTTGATATGTTCATGCTGCATGTCTAGGGGGCGCAGGCATATGTCTCTTGCTGTCGCTTATCATATTAATCGTCTAGACACACTCTCGCAGTATCAGCTGGCTACTGGATGCACGCGAGTCCTCGCCGCCGCACGTCGTCGCATTAAATCTGATGGTAAATTAGCGCGACAGAATATATATAGCGATTCGTTGGAGCGCGTAATGAACGTAACTTGAATAGGCGACTCGAGTCCGTTCTTCGTGAAACAACGTCAGTCAGCATCGCTGTGCAGTTTAGTTTACATCACGTTCTTTCAGAAGACCTGCCACGACGATGTACAGAGCACTGCGTGAAAGGAAAACTAAACTGCTGACGTATGTGTATATATATATATTCACATATATATATATATATATATATATATATATATATATAAATATATAATAGGTAGACTTACCGCAGTCATTACGTATCCCATAACAATTAATACGATTCAGGGACGAATCCAGGATTTCAAGGAGGGGGTGGAAAACAGGCGGGGGGTATGGGGGTCCTCCCCCCGAAAATTTTGAAAATGTAGATAGCAGGAGATGGTGTTTGAGGCACTTTTGAGTACATGTACAGAATTCATTCTGACTACGACAATTCTATTTTTAGTAGAACAATTCTTGCGCTTGCAGCGCGGCATTGATTGATGTACAAAGGGGGAGCATTATTGAATATGTAGGGGCAAACTGCATGCAATGCTCCCTTCGTAAAACCCAGGATGGGATTTGCTAGAACACGGGCGTCGAAGGAGGGTCACGTGATGTGGCTGCACTTGTGTTAGAATTAGGGTTAGGGTCAAGGTTAGGGTTAGGGTTAGGGTTAGGGTTAGAGATAGGGTTAGGGTTAGGGAAATAAGGCCATGTCTAGCACGGTTCGAAGTATGACTGGGGAATCTTTCTGTGGAAGATTTGGACTTTGAAGCGTACGAAGTGACTAGTGCTGCCACGTAACGGCACCCTCCTTCGACGCCCGTGTTCTAGCAACACCCACTCAGGATATTGAGCCAGAGCGAGAGCGCTATCTGTCGTGGAGTTTGATGTAGGGGGTGACCGATGTCCGACGACCGATGACCGATGTTTGACTGTCGCCCTGACAGTCAAAACTCTTTCTTGGAATTGCGAAAAAAGCTGCAAACGGGTTGTAACCTGCTTCAACACTTAATTACATAATTTAACCCATGCATCAGCTAGGTGCCGTTTTGTACAGCCGCGCGACTATTATACTTGGCAATAAATAATAATGGTATACCGTATATGCGTGAACATATTGTTAGTCCAACAGAGGGTGGTGGCTAGCCCCTCCTCCCTCCCCCGAATCCGCCGCTGACGATGCTACGATGTTGGGCAATGAAGTCACGAAGAAGTCACGTGATGACTTCAGTGAAATTTGTTGGCCAACATACGTTCCGTTAGCTCAAACATCTGTCGCCATGTTACTGCGCATTAATATAAAAGACTGTGGCGGAGTTTGATGTAGTACCGCATGCATACTCGAAGCTACGTGGCTGTTAACAACGTGCCCGTTTTCCATCGGAATAATATTGCTAAAATCTGCCCCGCCGCGAATAAAATAAAACCGCAGGCATAATGCTGAGCTTGATTTTATCGCACACAAAGCCAGCGACGGCTGCCGCATGCGCGTTGAAAGCTTGTTCGTTATTAAGATGCTGTACGCGGGGCGGAATCGAGCTGCTACGAACGTTTGCACGCTGTGTCGATAAAGCAGCGAATATAACCTGCAAAGTTTACCTGCGTACACGCAGCATGGCGCTCGAGCTGGGCCGGGATTTCGCTTGCCTCTGACTTTGTTTTAGGGTTGGATTAGAGATAATCTTAGCGTTAGGACTATTAATATTAGGGTTATGCATTTCATAACCTTACGCCTAGACCCAAGCTCAGACCTTAGTACAAACTCTGCTCTTTATACTAATCCTAACCCTAATTTTGAGCACTAATCATGAGCATATACCCTGTGTCGATCGTATCCCCGCCTAGACTACTGTAATGTAGCCCGATACTCCAGGGCCGTAGGCTGAGCAAATTTCTAGAGGGGGGGGGGGCAAAATGTCATGACTCAACTGTGTAATGATGAGCGACGGGCATAGCTCTTGATCGACGTCCATAGTGTGGTAGGGGTGAGTCTGAGACAAGGCTTTCACGAATAAATGACCAAAAAAAATTGTACTTATTTACGATTATTAGCTAATCTTATTTTTTAATTTTGCTTCAAAATCTAGGGGGGCAGCTGCCCCCTTGCCTAGGCAAGGGGCCCCCTACCCCACAGGCTACGGCCCTGTACTCGTATTTCGTAACACGGAGGATAATTGTGCGGGGAACGGTAGCTGGCACGCGAGCTTTCCAAAAATACGGTAGATCATCAAGCGTAGCGCGCGACCACATTCACGCATCGTCAATACCAACAGCAGTCAGAGAATGCAATTACACTGCATACTGGATGACCAAATGTCAGCCATCTGCTTTGTCTTAATCTGTGCGAGAAAAGGACAGCAAAAATCGCCCAGCGTAATATAACGCGCGATTTTGATAGGTGTAACGATGAGAAGGCTCGTGGAGACGGACTCTCACTATTCCCGCATTGCTAAAGTATATTGGGATCGCGTATACGCAGTTATGCAGAGTGCACCTCGCTGACAGACTATCCATAAATTGGCGCATTTGATTTATCTATAAGCCGATCACCACGGCCGACATGCTAGACACTTCCAACATGGTAGACATGATTACTTTGGAAGTATATGAAATGCGATAGTTATTAACTGAGACGATGTAATGATATACGCGCCACGCACCCACGCATTCATGAACGCACAATAACCCCGACACTCGCGCGCTCACAACACACTAATACGCGCTTTCTTATATGTTCATATTTTACCGCCGCGTTTACTTTTTGTTCGTGTACCCCAGATGCATTTTACGTATTAACAAAAAAGCTTTACCAGGCATGCGTATGGACAGGCAAATTCGAAAACCAACGAAGACAAATTTCGTAACGTTTAAATACGGAAAGATAAACATAGCAAGACGGCCTCTTCCGCATATTCCTTCCTTACCAGATCAATATCATGTTCGACATTATAGAAAGCAGACGCGTAATTACATCACATTCCACTGGAATTGTGCTACAGGTCATTACTATAGGCAACCTACTCGCTGTGAGATAGGAATCTACACAGCTGGACGAACCATAAAAGCCTTTTGACTGGCGAAACACTTGCGTATATGGTTCGTCATAATTTTTCAAATAGCTTCGGACTGGACATTATCAAGAGCGGATAATACCTATTATATGCGGTATTATCCGCTCTTGACATTATATATAACGACAGTTTCATGCGGCCTGCGACGACCTTAACGCTAATATTTAAATTTTATAGGAATTTTTAACATGGTTTTCGTGTCAATCCACATATTTGTCAACAGTTTGCTAGTGATGTGCACTTAGAGACGCAATGAATAGAATTCGAATGAACGGAGCAGTGAATCAGTTAAGGCATTGAGAACCATTAGGTATGTATCGTGATAAATGTAATACATGTGTAAAGCTATAAAACCGGACACACCGGAATGTCAATACTCAATACACATTGTAACCTCCCAAGTAATAGCTTTTAACAATATATATCATTATATCAAAATATAACTAACGTACACAGTTCGATCGTTCGTTTGACAATCCCAAATTCGTCGCTTATAAAATATTGAGTGTACGATGAGCGTAAGCGAATAATGTATTGACGGTATAGTAAGAATTATGCATCAACTGTTATATATAAACAGGTTCCGAGGCATCCGGCAACAAACGCATCATCGTACAAACACAATAACTATATCGAACATACATCTACATCGTGGCTGGAAAATACATCCCTGTCATATTTTTGTTTAATATCGGCATTTTTATTCAGTCTTCGGTTCACAATAGTTTACACCAATATAACCATAACTATATCATCGCGATTATTATCATCACTATCGTCATCATTGTCGTCAGCATCGGAATAATATTACAAGATCTAGAGGCAATGCTGTTGTGTAAAACATCGTGGCCGGTGTCAAAATCGTGAAAATATATAACGTCAGCCCATTCTAGGCTGGCATCACCCGCGTCCTTGCAATCAATCTCTCTGCGCCTTTATAGGCTATAGCACGAATTCATTTATATTCATAGAGATATTCGTTCTAGCCCTTGGTGATTGGAAAAATTTTCGCAACTGATTTGCATCTCGCACGCACCTTTTCGTAGAATAAACGCTGCTCGAAATATTTTATTGAAACTGAGGCCCGGGAGATGGTGAAATTATTAGCACGTCTGCAAGCACCGCCGCCCAAATGGTCTTCCTTGTGTGACTATATATATAGTACAGTAGTCTAGCACACTACGCAGAGAGTTAATTGATATGTGAAGGAGCCAACGATGTAGTCGACATGAACTGGGTGGCGAGTTGGCGAAAGTTGAGTGGCCATTTTACTATATACAGTGTTATATATTCATAAAGAGGACGCCGTAAAATGTCCGCACAGCATCTGGATGCGTGTTTAGGTTTATAGTGTATGTAATATAACATACCGCGTTATGTTCATGCCAAACGTGCCATATAGGGGCCTACACGTGTGTGTGTGTCGTGTGTGTGTGTGGGGGGGGGGGGAGTGCATAGGCGTGTTATTTAATAACCTTCTTGCCTTTCCGTTTAGGTGATATCATGGTGACACCAGATGGCGTGTAATGGAGCACTTCCTGCGCGTGAATAGTACAGACGAGAATGAACTCTACGCGTCACTGCCCGGCGACGGGTCAGGCACGAGTCACAACGACGGCTCAGCGTCGAACTACACTCCGGACGAGCGCGATCACAATGCGACCATGTCCTCGTTCGACATCAACGACGTCATCAACTACTGTGTCACGCTGGTGGCCGTGTGCACGGTCGTCTGCACCGTCGCCGGCAACCTGCTCGTCGTCATCGCCGTCTGCACGGAGACGCGTCTGCGAAAAATCGGCAACTCGTTCATCGTGTCGCTGGCCGTCGCCGACCTGCTCGTCGGCGTCGTCGTCACGCCGATCTCCGTCTGGTACCAACTGCGCGGTGAGTGGACGCTCGGCAAGGTGATGTGCGACTTCTGGGTGTCGATGGACGTCATCTGCTGCACGGCGAGCATTCTCAACCTGTGCGTGATCAGCGTCGACCGCTACTACGCGATCACGCAGCCGCTGCAGTACGTCTACAAGCGCACGCCCGGCCGCGCCACCGTCATGATCGCCTTCGTCTGGATATTCTCGTTCGTCATCGCCATGCCGCCGCTGCTCGGCTGGCGCGAGGAGCGACCCGACGTCATCACGCAGTGCTTGATCAGCCAGGACAAGGGCTACACGGTGTTCTCGACGATGGGAGCATTCTACCTGCCGCTGGTCGTCATGATCGTTGTCTACGTGCAGATCTATCTCGCGACGCTCGAGCGAAAGAAGCACTGGGTCGCTCGACCGGGCTCGAGCTACGTGACGTGCAACGACAGCGTCGTGCGCGGCGAGAGCTCGCCGACGCCGTACAACTCGCTCGTCGACGTCTCGCTGCGCGACTCGAAAGACACGCTGAGCAGCGACGGCGGCACGGTCAAAGTGTCGCAGACTATACGCCGCCTCTCGTATCGCTGGGCGGCGCGACGGTGCCGCCACCGCATCGTCATCACGCCGAGCGTCAAGACGTCCGAGGCGCTGATCGCCGAGACGCGGCTGACGGCGAAGGCGACGACCGAGGTCAAGGGTCAGCCGTCGGCGGCGGCGGCGGCGGCGGCGCCGCGAGCGCACACAACCCGCTACGCGTCCAACGCGAGGACGAACTGCGCTGTCGCAGCCGAGCCGAACAGCTGCTGCCTGACTGTAGACGCGCCTCGGGTGCGGAACGACGGCTACAACAACAGCGCCAATACGATACAGAACGCCGCCGACGACACGACGGATCTCGTCGGCAGCCTGTCGCCGAGCTGTCTGGCGCTGAACGAGCGTCGCACGTCGAACATGCCCAAGGTGAAGCGCATATCCGTCAACCAGGAGAAGCGCGCCGCGAAGACACTCGGCATCATCATGGGCTGCTTCGGGCTGTGCTGGTTGCCGTTCTTCCTGCTGGCGCTCATCGCGCCTCTGTGCGAACGCTGCCGCATACCGGCGCTGCTCTTCCTCGTCTTCACGTGGCTCGGCTACTTTAACAGCGCTCTCAACCCGATTATCTACACGTTCTTTAACAGAGACTTCCGGCGCGCTTTCCACAGGATCGTTTGCTGTTTTCAGACGAGTCGGCGCCGGCGTCGACACGACATGCACATGTGACAATACGAGAACGGACGACGCGGCCGAAGTGGACGCTACAAACAGCGCGCCACTTCGCTTGCCGCGTCGCCCGTGCACTCCGTGTCTGATTGTGACGTCAGTCGGCGTCGCAGCGCGTCGCAGTGCCTCGTTCCTACGCCCAGCATCGCGATTACACCCACCGATCCGCAGCCTACGCCACCGACCCCCCCTAGTCCACAGCGTACCCTGCTCCGACTCCCGCACTCACACAACCCACCACACAGCCCTTGCTCCAACACCACCAGCACACCGGACCAGGACACGGTCAGGCCCCTGCACCGCCACGATTCACTACTGCTTCAACATCAACACTCTCCCATCCTACCTCTACGATCCCCAGTGCACACCCACACGCGACACTGTTCCACCACCCCACCGCCACGGTTCGCCGCCCACGGTACCGCAGTTATTCGACGCCACTACACACTCTAGTCATATACCTGAGCGTAATAGATTAATCCCCCCACGCATTTGTTACCGTGGCAATATTGCCACGGTATCCGGATACAGCTACTTACGTATTCCGCCACACTATACTCTTACGCGTATGCGATCCATGCAGTGACAATATTGCCACAGTATATATACGAATACATATCGTCACAATGGTGCCACGATACCGTGCCGTTCTCCGCAAATGTGGCGGGAACCTAAGGTAAACCCTCGCCGACCCCAATCCCGCCTTATTCAGCGTTAGTGCCATGGGAGCGAGATAGCATTTAATATCAATTGTGCTATTGTAAATGACGTTCATTTATACGTGGCGGTTTCCGGACAGAATTGCTCTGAGGTTTATCATGTTGTGAATGGTCGACAAAAATATATATCACTGTATTGTCGCATTACACGCAGTAATTGTGAAATACACATCATGTACATAACCTTGTTATAATATATATATATACAGTGTTTTCACTTGTGTGCGCTGCGTAGCTTTCATCTATATGGCAACGTGATCCGCATGCCATAAACTCTTAACTGGCATTCCAATTGGTATTCACACGATTTAAACACAAGACATTCATGGCGTTCTAATTGAAAACGGGGTTATTTGGGATTTATTATTAGTTATTTATTATTGTGGTTAAATAGTCTAGTGTAGTTGTGCTGACAAGTGAATGTGCATCCTGGTTCCACGATAGGGTAACGTGAATGCATTTTGTTTGTAATTCATATGGTAATGCAGATAATCCTGGTAACTAACAATACACAGTGTGTTGTATGTTTAAGCATTTGACAATACACTGTGTATTGTTAGCGAGCTTTCAACAATACACTGTGTATTGTCGAACACCTTCTAACAATACACTGTATTGTAGTAGTCACCTATAAGCTTTCAACAATACACTGTTTATTGTTGAACACCTTCTAACAATACACTTTTCTTCTTCTTTTTTAATTAGTTTACTTTTTGATTTGTAAACTTGAAATTGACATTTATTTAAATAAATTTATTGAATTTATTGAAAATGAAATTGAATTTAAATACACGGTTGTTAGGTACCTACTACAATACACAGTGTATTGTTAGAAGATGTTCAACAATACACACTGTATTGTTGAAAGTGTTATTGTTAGTTACCAGGATTATCTGAATAATGTTTTTGCTTCCGTTAAATAACTGTTACATGTGTATGACCAAACCCTTGCGTAATCCTCGTCATGTTGTGATGCGTACTAAGCAAAGCAGTTATTTGTGTGCCTCACATTCGTTTATATGCGGATAAAACAGTATCGAAATAAACGGAAGCTGATACAAAGATTTCGAGTTGCCTGTTTCACTGAATACAACATGTAACAAACAATTGCAAATTCACAGAATACAAGATGAACCAATGTCACAATTACCTAATATGTATAACGCACGCATGGTGTGTCTTATGCGTTTAATTGATTATAATAGAGCTTCAATCAACTATGAAAAAATAGACAGATCTTACTCCTCGTGGTATGTGTAAGAGGAAGTAATAACAGAGCACGCGCGCAATATTTATTTATATATATATATATTTATTTATATATATATTGTTAATCTAGTGTAGCTCTTGGTAAACCAGACAACATGCGCCATCTATTGGCCGTTGATAAAAACCGATAAATCTTAACATTGACTGTCGAGCTCGTTTTGAATGCAAACACAATTAAATACTACGAAATCGGAAATCCGAATAAGAAAAGTAAAATCCGCGATTTTTTTTTATTTAGAGTAATCGAATACGTATCCGAATAGGTAGAAGTCATCGAAATACTTCTCGTACAGTTTCCTCACTAGAACCGGTGACAGGGCACTGTAGTAGTGATGTCGCAGCTCACCCGTGGGTTTGCTCTTATAGAACTCGCCGCGCGCTGACAGCCCTACCTGCCGACCTATACCGAGCTGATGGAACATAACGTCCGACTCCTCGGACATGTGTTCGTATTTCACGACGAAGTCGTAGCGAATCGAGCACGGCTGGCACTGATCGACGTAGCGCCGCCAGTGCACGTCGAACTTAGCCGGGTCGGTGACCACCAGATGGCGCACAAATTGCTCGAATGTTGCATTCGGGGGCCTCATGCGTTTGTCGGGGAAAGCGTCGGCGATCCGGCGTCCGAACGATGCATACTGTCCCTCTCCCGGCTCGATCTTGTCGCGGTACGCGGACAAGATGCGGTCAAACGGGTGTCGGACGAGAAGCGCGTTGCTGTACTCGCGCAAGATCGCCTCGTGGCTGTCGGGACGGCGGCGACCCAGCGTCAGCTTCCCTACAGCGCCGTGCACGTATTCGTTACTGCCGGGGTCTGTCCTGAAGTCGGTTCCGTTCAGCGCGAGGAACACTCGCTTCCAGTTGCTGCACGCCACCTTGGCGATCGTGCACATGCTCAGCTTGTGCGCGTCGTTGAGCAGAATCGCATTCAGCGTGTTCGCGCCGCCGCGCCCCAGCGCCTCCGCTATCGGTACTGCGACTCGCTCCAGTAGGTGGCGCTCGCACACGGTGGCTAACCATTGCTTTCTTGACTGCAATCGTTGGCGTATGGCATCGGTCGCATTGTACGATGCTAGTCTACCTCTCGCCGTATTTATTGGTTCATTGTGTGACATTTGAACGCGCACAGTTCCTGTTATAGATAAATTAATGGCACGTATATATGTTAGTTATTAAATATAGAATATTATCAAGAGCGTATAAAGAAGGAGAGCGTAGAACGGTGAAATGCTGAAACCATGTTGCAGTATTAGTCGAATTAATAAACTTTTCCCGTAGTATAATCCAGTATTATTGATCAGCTGTCCCACTTTATTAATATAAAACAAACTGCATGTCCCTACGATGTCCCTACGCTGAGATAATGAGCGGTGAAAATCTGGTATTTTCGCCGAAAACCGACTCGAGATACCTGCTGACTGCGACTGTCTCTCGCTTTGTGGCCAGTGTGTTGCTTCCGGTCGCCGCTGTGTAGCGCCATGGTAGCGCTGACTCACGTCAGTACTGCAAAGTTTACTATATATACAATACATCTAATACATACATATATCAAATTTATACAATACACCTAGCGTGAGGTAGGCACAGGTGGGGGTCATCACTATGGCAATCAATAACAGACGTCATTCATTCCATTTGTCAATCATTGACGGAAACACGCGAGGTTTCCCGAAGTTATCTCAAATCGAGAGACAGTCGCAGTCAGCAGGTATCTCGAGTCGGTTTTCGGCAAAAATACCAGATTTTCACCGCTCATTATCTCAGCGTAGGGGCATCGTAAGGAAATGCGGTTTGTTTTATATTAACAAGGTAGGACAGCTGATAAATAATACAAAGAATCGTCAAAATAAAACGGGAAAGGTGTATTAATTCGACTAATACTGCAACATGGTTTCAGCATTTCACCGTTGTACGCTCTCCTTCTTTATACGCTCTTGATATTATAAATCGATTAGATAATTTAGTTAATAAAAATAGAATAGTTGTTGAATTGAATCAGAAGTTAATTAGAAAGTGAAAAACACCACCACTAGCGTAATCTTGGTAATACATAATTAAGAGATATAGAAGAAATACCTTTTTTTGGTTCGTAGAACTCGTTGATACTTTGCACAATGATAAATATTAGCACGGCGGTGCCACAAATGACGCATATACCTCGGGCATGCCGCATGGCTTCCACAGCTTCTATGATCCACTCGTAAATAACTATAGGTAGCTACACAAATGTCGGCAAGCGACGCAGCGAGCAGACGCACGTTCACGCTGGTTTACGTGCTAGTATATGCAGGTATATACCGACACGTCTTCGCGTTGGCCTTTAACTGTTATGCCGATTTGTGCCGGTTGTGCTCATGTATATGTATTATCATGGTATTATATATGCTACTTTCTACATTAATTTGTGCGAGGACCTATATGCGCTGCACGAAGTGAATTCGTTAAGAGAAGATTGAAATTACTAACAGACGCAAATCATAACGATATAGCTTAGCACAAGTTGCAAGACACCAGATATAATCTCTGGAAGCGAACTACATTTATTCGCTATTTATTTATTAGCATAAGAAATACACATTGTCATCTGCCCAGACTTTATTGGAAGGTTGCGTCACAGTTCGTTACGAGCCTTCAGTATATACAGTTTGTTCGTTTCAGTGTACATTTCCATCTTGCATTTGCTATGATCACTGTCATGTTACATTTGTTATATACGCACTGAAATGAATCTATCTCGCCGAAAGACGGGACTTAATTATTGGCGACATTGCGCTGCTGTCGTTTACCTGCGGGGAACGCAGCTTCGTGCAGCTATATAAATGCCAGATTCCACCTCCGAAGAAGGTTTCAGCACGGTATTCCACCATGTGATCACGCCAACTATAAACCACTAACCAGCATGGAACTGCATATATATAGCGGATTTGAAAAGCATACGATTAGGGTACGTCAGTTAACAGCATGGAAACATATTGTGTGTGTGTGTGTGTGTGTGTGTGTGTGTGTGTGTGTGTGTGTGTGTGTGTGTGTGTGTGTGTGTGTTCTCAACATTTCTATATCGAATAATCCGCTAAATCCGTTACCACACCTCCTGTTGCAGATATTTGCAATAACGATTGGTAACAGGTTGCAGATTAAATGGTGACAGATGTGCGAGGTATGAGTCTTTGTACTGTGGCGGCGAGTGTGGCCCAAAACCATTTAGTCGAATACTTTGTAATCGCAGTTTGTTTGCATGCTAACATTGTAACCTTTGAACACTATATTTGATACTAGATTTGAAAGAGAATTACACTTACACGGGATCGTTTGAAAATATGAAATGATAGCGCCGGCTTACAAACACAGATGAGACTAGAACACGCAGAACAGCAGAAATTCATGAAATTCAGTACATCATTTTGATTGGGAAGTATCATATATAGGAGAATATAGTTATCGCCAACTAATTAACGTTAGTAATCCGCACGCAACATATCCATGTAGACAAGTTTACGATAAATATTATGGACAATACAGTATTAATATATTATAATAAGCAGCTAGTTGCACGTAATATTAGCCTATATGATTATACGTTATCATTAGTAGGCATGGTTATAGATAGTCGTCGCTGCTAGCCACGCGCATGTATGTTTCACATGCATTTGTAATGACGCGCGCGCGCACGCACGCACGCACGCACGCACGCACGCACACGCACGCACACACACACACACACACACACACACACACACACACACACCCACACACTTGTGCGTGGGGACAAAGTTCGTTCCTCGTTACCTGTACTCAGACGGCCTGTAGAATTTATGTGCTCTCTTACCTCTTATGTGATGTGTATGTGAGCAGAGTATTCCCAGGTTGTGTGTGAAAAATATCATATTTTCATACATCAAGTTGTATTTATATGATACGCAAATAGTTTCACATTGATCACATGTGCGATACCGGTGCTAACTTGCAAGACGCGAGGTTGGTAGTTTGTATGTATTATACGTTTTATTTTACCACAATTATATCTAAATCGTGATATTATTCAGCTAGATATATTGAGCTAACGGTGAATTGTACGTTGTTGCATTAATTAGATCTAAATGTCACCATGTCGACGGCGTCAACTGTGGATACCAACTCTGAGGAAATCGTGAGATACAGCAGTTCACATTTCGATTGGAAGAATTTTATGAAGTCAGTCACCGGCGTGCTCCTTATAATACAAACGGTACGCATGAAACATACGTGTAATTACATAACAGTGGTAATTCCTACCTATTAAAAAACGCTCTCATATCCGAGTAATTTTATTATCCTGTGCGGGAGCAGGTGTGGGGGGGGGGTGGACAGATGGGAAGTAACCCAAGGCAACAACACCGGCAACGGAGAACCGCCAACTGTCAACTGTCCAGAACGGAAACCCATCCGTGACCTCTATTACTACGACTCTACTAGTAACTCTACTACTAGTTATAACGACTCTCAGATTTTTGTTAGCTTCATACTCCACTTTGCATGCGTGGCACCAGCTTTGAGTTTTGTGTTTACAAAATTGAGTATTGTGGAACCGGTTCGACAGAATTGAGTTTTGTGTTTACAAAATTGAGTTTTGTGGAACCGGTTCGACAGAATTGAGTTTTGTGTTTACAAAATTGAGTTTTGTGGAACCGGTTCGACAGAATTGAGCCCTGTCCTGCATGGCGCCCCGTAGGGGGACAGGATTGACAGAAAACAAAACT